TGCTGCAAAACTATGCATATAATTTGGCTCCTATGGGATTTGCTCCTTTTAATATCTACCTATTCATCCCTATCTGATTATGTGGGCCTTCTCCCCGATTGGACAGTATGACCGGGTCTAATCATTCCCAGCAACAGGGGATTGGCTGAACCTAAGCCAAGGGGCTGGACTTCAAGAGAACTCTTGTACATTGATCTTCTTACCAGGAAGTGTTGACTGGTGGTCATGACGCCCATCTGTCAACATTCCTAGGTGGCAGATCATTTAGGGGGCGTACCCACTGCAGGCTGTGGGACTATCCCTTTCCTTGTCTTGGTTAATCCCCAAGGAGACAATATTTAGAGCAATAAAAGACATCACTTCAGTGCATCAAAAGATTATAATATTGCTATGAAGATTCATGAAGATAAACCATCCGGGTAATTAATGAATTGTAATGTAAGCCTTTTGATTTATTTAAGAGCTGAGGAAATACCAGAAGTGGGTGTGGCCAGAACCAAGGAAAGCTGGTGCAGAATGTTTCTTGAAAAGGAACCCATGATTGTAGTTGGTGTTTGCCCGGTGAGTTGCCTGTCCCTCAAACACCCGATCAGTCACCAGCACAGATTCTGTCTGCTGATCCACGTTCCTTCACCCTCCACCAGCACTCACCAGTCTTTGGCTTGCTTGTCACCACACCCTCTGAGGTGCTTGCCATCTGTGTCCTGTATGCATTTGTGCCCCTCAGAAAGGGTCTTCTCTCCTCCAGCCTTAAAACCCCTCTGTATGGAGCAGCTAGCCTGGTCCACGTATACCTCTATACCTCAACTGTGATGCCTGCTCCTTGGTTTATTTTCCCGGGTCCTCCTGAGGGCCTTTGTTTAGCTAGTGGCCCAGGAAGCCCCGCCCCCCTGGAGACCCTGGCAAAGGCTGTTTCATTGCCTGCAGACCTCTCCCTAGAGGCCTTTGTTTCTTTTACAAAATCCAATCTGCTTCCCATGCGTTTTTCTGGATTTTGCACTGGTCCAGAAAGAACATAAAGCTGCTTCTTACCTCTGACATTATTGACATTTAATATCAAGAACCCTTGTGGGCCCGCTACAGGCTGTTGGGGGACACTTTACAACACTTTTAGAAGAAAAACTAACTCAGCAAGAGGAGATGCAGGAAGTATTTTGTCTTTTAAAGCTAGAGATAATATATATATATATGAGTATCACTTCCCTGAAAATGATAGTAAATAACAACAGTACAAATAT